CACAAGAGAGGACCAAGTATCTGCCGCCTTTGCTGTCGGGTCTTTACTCGTTACTGCAGTGTGAATCGCAGTCGCAGCACTAGGCCCATTTGAGATTGTCCTGGCCTGATCCTCTCCAGCCAAGCTTAGTTGGTTTGTTGGTTCTGGATCAGTAACCCTTGGCGCGATCACAGGTTCAACAGGAGGTGCAGTTGACTCCTTGGCTTCTTCAGCCCTGGAAACTTTGTTGGTTGGTTCTGGATCAGCAACCGTAGTCACGATCACAGGAGCAACAATAGGGGCAGCGATAGGAGCAAGTTCGATCCCAGTAAGGTTGGGAGAAATTGCAACAGGGGAAGCATCGACACCAGTAACCTCAGGCACTGGCACGACGCCTAGAGTACATGGAGAAGATGACGTCGCCGGGGACGCAGCCACCGGAGACTGAGAAGACGAAGTCGACGGTTTGAGATTCCGAGGACCCGACTTCTGCGAACGAGAGAGTTTGGATGGAGAGGACTTTTTGGGTTTTTTCTGTCCCATGAGGTGGGACGGGCCTGAGGACAAAGACTCCAACAAGCACCGGCGCCGGAGAAGACGCCGGACGGAAGCCGCCGTAGACACCTTATCGCAAAATAATCGCACTTTTTATTTTAGGGATTTTGACCTGGTCAACACGGTTTATTAAAAATAAAATAAAACTTGACAAATTTTTATGTGGATCGATGCCAATTATCAAATTCCACCAAATATGTTTCAACTGTAAAAGTACATGATTTTCTACTGATATTAAATACTAGTGTGGGATTTGGTTCAAAATATACTTTGCTACAAAACAAAAACGTTCCATATTCTTATAGAATGTTCAAATATCAACATTTCCGCACAAAAAGACTAGTTTCAATGAATCATTCAGAATGATTATACATGGCGCTAAAAAAGTATTTCTTGTTAATTTTATGTCTGTGTAAAATTTCATAAACCTAAACAATAAAAGGTTCTTTTAATCATTCTAACAACTTCATTTTATGCTAATGTTATTAGATACATTAAGATGAAGAAAGCTGTATCGATTTGCTCTTACTTTATAACT